GTGCCCGGCTCCTCCGCACGGCGCTCCGGGGTGACCCCAGGAGAGCGCACTCAGTTGTGCCTCATGTGGATTAGCCCGTAACTTAAAATGCTTTTGAACTTGTAAGCAAATGCTGTAGATTGTATGGCCTGACTTCCTGTTTTATTTCCTTCTGGGTCATAGACTTGGGGAAACTTCAAATTCTCAGGCAGTTTTTCCTCCAAGGAAGAAAGCTGGATGAAGTTACTAAGCAAACAAAGTTTGTGTGCAAAGAGCCCTCCTAAAGGCTAAGTTCTGTCCCAGAATGAAATTTTATAGAATCCTTGGCTGTTTCTAAATGCATTTTATAGCACTGAGAGCTCTTAAATGATAGCAATATGGAGCTTTCTTACTACACTATTCTACAACCTTTAATGTTTTGTGGCTGTATCAGCCCTCCTTTTAACCTCAGCTGTGTGAGCAATAGTTTTCAGATGTCAGTGCTATAGAAACCTTGACTTCTCTGCCTGAAACCATGTACTCTAAAATTGGTGGGTAGCAACCTGGCATTTTAGAGCCAAAAAACCCCCCCAAATCTGGAACAAAAAACCCCACAACAATCCAGTACCAGGGGAACGTGCCAAGTGTGTGTGATAACACGGGTGGTTTGTGTGCTTCACTGCGAGGTGTCTGAATGGTTTAAAGAGTTAAAGGCTAGAATTAAACTTTTAAACTGCAGGTTAAAATGATTCACAAGCACAAGGTTAGTTGGCCACCTGAGAACCATTTCATAAACGGTAATTTGTTATAGCTGAGGTTTTAGGGGGGCTGAATCCATGTTCTTACTGGGTTTCATTTGCAAGAATGAACATCACAGAGATGTGAACTTTCCTTGTCTGCTGCAGGAAGCTGAGCCAGAAAAAGAAGGCTCTTGGCCTTGGCAGGTTAAGTGTTAAAAAGAATGAAAGAGAGCACAATCATTGTCTTGGTCTTGTTCTTTTTGGTGTTATTTACAGATTTTAATTTTAGATTAATGGCTGCGAAAAGAACAATAGTAGTGATTTCACAATATTCAGTTTGAACATTTAACCTCAGAGATACCACCACTGATAAATCTGAAATGTAGCTGTGTTGGATGGCTTGTTTGGAGTTTTTTTTTTTTACATATATAAATAGTGTATTGTTGGATCATTCAGTGGCTGAAACCTTGTGGAAATAGGATACAGAAGGTCATGTGGTAACACTTTATCTGCATTTTAAATACTGTTTTCAGTTTTCAATTCTGTCAGTCCATTGTGAGCCTTTCACTGTTTTTGTAGTGTTCACCACCGTCTTCATTACATCTGTTTTAAAGCTTGTATCAGTTCCTTGAAATCTAGTTTTCTACTAATTGCACTAACTTGGGTTTTCTAATGTAAGCAGTAGAGGAAAAAGACTCTATTCCTCTGAGTCTAAATTCTGCTCCTAGATGAAACACCAATCAGCCACAGGATATATCACAGTATCTCATTTTGCCCTGTGGTCCACAGCAACCTGTAACTATTTATGACATAACAGTGGGTTGATGTGTAATCTTCTTACTAGTATGTTTAGCATGTAAATAAGACCAAATCATATCTGAAATCACAAAAATATTTTTAATCTCAGAGAAGTGTTTATATGTTGGGAGAATAATTTTAACAAGTTTCTTGATGGCCACACACGAAGTGCCTTTTTAAACTGTTAGGCTCTGGAAGGGTATTTATTTCTTCCTGCATTCTCCTGAGCTAAAAATTCTACATACCTGTTCAAGTCGGAAACTTTTTGCTTTAATTAGTAAGAGATCTAATGGTACCACTTAAAATATTTTGCCACCAAGCTTTTAGAGTTATGTTTGGACAAATGTTACAGATTGTTTGGGCTAGTGGAGCCAAGTTAAATATTATTCAAATTTGTGTTAATATGAAACCCAGGAAAACTGAAAATATAACATTAAGGAAACAATGGGAAATATCTCTGGGGGGAAAAGAATTTCTTATTGAGAAGTTCTGTTAAATGAACTAGCTTTGATTACTTATTCTTCAAGAGAAATGAGATGCATGCTTGATTTATTTTTTTCTTTCATGAACACTTTGAAGGTCTGTAGGTTTGTACCTGTGATTTCTACCTCGAAGGAAATCCACAGATTAACCAGTGATCCCAGAAACAGAGTTAAAAAACAATCCCATACTTTTATTTTTAATGTTTACACAGACTGCTCTTTAATAGTACCTTTGCAAATATAGCAAGTGTTAGGTTTGTGTTGCAGTTTTTACCTTGTTATTACATTCTAGGATAGTCTTCTAATTGTGTGGTTGAGATGGAAGCTTTGGCTCAGCTCTCATGAAGGGCTAAAAAGAGGTGAAAACTGTCCTGCTGCACAATGAAATTATTCAGTCTGGAGAAAATAAGTGGTGAAGCAAATCCTTGTCACTTCCAGGGGTGACTTTCAATTATCCTTATTGTGGAGAAGGAATGCTCAGGATTGCCATCGTATTCCATATTTTCAGTATGTCCTGATGTTGCAGAGTGTGATGCTCCTCAGAGGCCCTCGAGCAGGGTGGCAGAGCTGCCCCTGTGGTTGTTTTTAGTATTTACTGATCCCTTCCACACTTGTGAAGCAACTTAGCACCTTACCAAAAATAGAAGGTGAAACTGGTAATTTATTAGATGATTTCTGGAGTGGGCACAGTGATTCTTATATTTTAGCTGGGCAACTGATAAGACAGTTTTACCTAATGAAGAAAATGTAAGGATATGTAAACACATCCATGAGAATCCCAAATATTTTACCTTTCTGAAATGTTCCTTAGGATTGCTTAATCAAACTCTCATAATCAGTTTCCTCAGCTGTGCTTCAGTTCTTGGATGTGATTATTTATATAATTTCCTTCAGTGGAAATGTTTTCTATATATGTAGAACATTATACATGTGGCTGTTTATAACACTTAATAATGCTGATAGTCACGTTTAGTTAGAGATGATGCATAAATGCAGTGAGCAGATCAAAGCCACCTGCCTGACAGTTGAGTTTTCTGCTCTGAAAGGAGCCAGTGATACTGTGACCCTGCTCAGAAGTCTTCTGGGTCAGTGTCTGCCTTCTGTTTGAATGTGGAGCATGAGCCTTTGTGTTTTTCCTCCCATTCATGCCTGGTTATCTCCCTGCCTGTTAGCAGCACATTATATATGTATAAAAGCTTCTTTGGAGAATTTAACCGTGTTTGAGTTCCTGATGAGTTTATGTTTGGTGGCTTAGGCTCTTGTTTAATTGATAGCTCTCCTGTGTTAGTCATTGCTTTGTTTTGTCTTTCATTTGAAGGATTCTTTACCTTGCTAAGTTGATAAAGCTTGCAGGACTAATCTGTTCTGTGCTTTGTCTGAGCAGCTAAATTGAGTGTGTCCACATTTAGGTGCAATTTAGAACCTTAGTCATCTGCTTACTCCTGAGTTTTCATGTGGTCTGGGGTTTCTGTTACACAAATATATTATTATGGTGGTTTTGGCCTAGGTGCATGGAGCTGCTGAAGTTGCACTGGCTTATAATAAGTCTTCAACTTCC